TATATATATATTATATATACTATATATATATATATATATATATATATATATATATATATATATATATATATATATATATATATATATATATATATATATATATGTGAAGACAATTACCATATATATTTACCATTATATATGGTAATGGTAATCTAAATGGTAATCTAATTTACTGAAAAGCACCTCGAAAGCTTTTTGAACTACAAATATGGCAGAGTGGTTTTTAAAGGCGGGCCTTTGCAGCGAGTGAAAGTAAAAGTAATGCCTCCACAGCAGGCTGTCGTGGAGGCATGAAGATTGTTCGCTGATCATGATCGTACAAGAATCATCCCAGCTGGAAGATGGATCCTCATCGAATTGTCTGGGCCGTGATGGTGTGTCTTCTCGGAGCAACGCGTCTCTCCAGCGGTGGTAAGAGTAAAAATTTAACCCTCATATTTACCTACCTTTTTTTTTTTTTTTGTCTGTTTAGAACAAAGGTCACCCATACAGAACATACATGCATATACGTTTAAATATAGTCAATTCTAAATGTTATATTTTTTATAATTAAGACTTACACTTTGTCAATTGCGTCATTAAAGGTAGTAATGGTTTCATTTGTCCATAACGTTGGCTTAATGTTAAGCCAAGATTACATGCTGGCTTAACATGTAATGTAAAAAGAAAAAAAAACAACAAAAACATAGATGTCTAGATAACATTCTACATACTCTGAAAACATTTAATCTTCAATATGAAACTAGATCACAGGTTTGATATGAACTATGGTATAGAGGAAGTTTAAAGGAAGAACTGCCAGTTTCAGTTGCAAAAAAAAGGGTCGATAAAGTTTCTGTGTCCAGATTGGTTTTTACTGAGTCATAAAATGTTTTATTTCTCATCTCAAGCGTACAGCAACACATATGAACTTCTGCTGTCACACACACACACACACACACACACACACGCACGCACGCACGCACGCGCGCGCACGCACGCACGCGCACGCACACAAAACAAAAATGTGTACAAACTAAGATCTTATGATTCGGCAGCTTGTAGAAGCACCTGCTTAAGATGAAGCTTGAAAGCAGTTGGTTTCCGTTTGATTTTATCAGTCAGAGTCTGACTTTATTTCACTCTTTGTTGTTTCAAACATCCTGTAGTCTCGCATCATTTCGATGATTTTCAGGTCTGAAGTGTTACTTCAGTCTTTGACACACTACATTTTCCCCTCAGACATTTTGTTATAGATTTTGCTGCTGTGTTTTGAGTCACTGTCCTGCCGATGGCCCAGATTGTTGGATAGATGGCATCAAATTCGATTTCGGGATATTTTTGGTTTCATTCACTGATTGAGTAAACAAAAAATAAATCAAAGATTTTCCAAAGATAACAACTGACTTGCCAGATGTCTCAGTCTTGCCACTGTAAAACAAGGCAACTTTACTTATGTTGCTTTTAACCTTCAGTTAAAAGCAACTCAAAATACATATACAAAAAAACGTTAGAAACGACATACATCAAGAAAAATCACATCAATAAAAGGGTAAGTTATGATCATTTCCACCGCTGCACACTGAAAAAAAGTTTCTTTCAACTTAAAAAATTGCTCTAATTTATTACAGCTAATAATTCTGTTTTTAATAAGTCTGAAATCAGAAATGTAGCTTGAGCAAAACTAATAGAATTAGCCATAAGAAATTTGAGTAATTTTTTAAAGTTGATTCAAAAAACCCTGTTTTTCAGTGAGCTTATCACTTCCTGTGAGGCGCTGTACTCACAGGAACAACGCCTCACTGGAATGTTGCTTAAGAACAACATTCCAGGAATTCCAGAGGTCCATTCATTAGCTTTGAGCACTTTTTAATAGGACTCTCAATAGGTTTTGTAGTGTTTTTGGAATTTCTCAGAACATTACTCGGTCGAACTTTTTCCACTTGTGAATGATTTTTTTTGTCACCGAGGAATGATGGACGTGAAATCATTTGGAAAGGGTTTTCAAACCCTTCCCACATTGTTCACCTCCAGCAGTTGTTACTGATTTCTTTCCTCTTTGTCTTTGTCAAGACGTTTATCTAAGCTCCAACGCTGAAACCCCTGCTTTTATAGAGGTGACCACTCTTACTGATGGCCGGTTAAGCTAAGCATTTGTTCTTGATAAACTCTATATCATTTTGACTTTGTCATAATTTGTAAATATAGAACTGAAGAAACACACAACTTTCTTTTTGATGTAATTATGTAAAGAGCAAAAAGAGGAGATAATTAAAATGAAGCCAGTAGTGAAGTAATGCTAGAAAATTTTAATGTGTTTTTTTTTCTTTTCAGCCAACTGCACATGTCTAAAGATTCCCCCAAAAAACTTTACTGTACAAAAAGACGGATGCTTCGAGGTCAAGTATCGCTACGAGTGTATTCCAGGCTATACGAGAAAATCCGGAACGTCAGGCCTCATCAGGTGTCAGGAGAAGAATGGTGTTTCACAGTGGGGCGAATCTAAATTCGAGTGTATAAGTAAGATCCTTTTATTTCTCTTTCATTTCTTTAAGAGAAACCTCTATCATGTTACCCCCGAGAGCTTGATTTCCAAAGTCAGAGAGATGAGTTGATTCTGAAAGCTTTGGGTGGTAACTGAATGTCTGAGTCATTTTTTTGTGAAAAGAAACCAAAATCAGCTGATGCGAAAAACAACAGAAACAAAATCAAGTGAGATGACAAGCAAAAAAAAAAAAAAAAAAAAAAAAAAACCAAAAAAAAAAAAAAAAAAAAAAAAAAAAAAAAACAGATTGTTATGGAAATTTCATTTATCAAAGAATGAGAATCTGTTTCAATAATAAAAGAAAGATTAATCTTTGTCTTTAAGTTTTTTGGGGGGTTTTTTGTCTTTAAGTTTCTTTATTCAAAGGCAAAAGCGTTCCAAGACCCGTCTCACTGAACGTAGTCACTTCACATCGTTACATAGTCACAGCAAGGAAAAGACCCACCCAGAGCCTGATCTCTATTGCCAGATGGACCACAGAGATGATTCTTTCCCCCTCCTCATGAAGTGTCCCTCACCTCTTGGAGGAAAATTTTATGGCAGGAAAGGGAGCCCATAAGGATTTCAGGACAAACATCTAATGCTTCTTTGTCATAATGGGTTCAGGGTCAAATAACCCATGTCAGTCCTTTAAGACAATTGCCAAGTTAAGCAAGATGTCTTCAGGTCTCTTAAGTTATCACAGCTGTGGAAACATCTAAATATTATCTGGAAACTTCTTTAATGGAAAAACACATCTTGCAGAAATACAAAAACACAGCAGATATAATCAGTAAATAAATGGTAAAAAAAAAAAAAAAAAAAAGTATCACCAGTTCCATCAAAGATGAATTAAAGCTAAAAATGACATTTCTATTACACTTGCATTGGGGGTTTATTTACACAGAAGTTGATGTTTATCTATAAGGGAATCTTGAGTTGGTGCATCACAAATGATTTTAATGTGTGAAAAATATAATGAGAACAGAAATGGGCTGAAAGAAATATCAGAAATGTAGGGACATCGCTGCATCACTGTTTCATGACGCATGCAGGTTTTAGAAAGTAAGAGGCAACATTTTCACTAAGTCCCTGCTGTTGACGTGGAAATTATTATTATTATTATTTTTTCTGTAGCTGGATAAATAACTGACTACTGGGGATCTGTTCTCTACAAACCCCAAAGCAAAAAAATAGAACCATTTTTTAACCATTTGTTGAGGTATTATGCGCCATATTGCAACATTCACCAATATTATTCTATGTCGCTTGCTTTTCAAATAGCATGCTGCCCTCAGGAATGTCTTCTTCTTTTCCTTTCGGCTTTTTCCCTTTAGGGGTTGTTGAGAAAAGTCGAGCTCATCCCACTTCCCCATGCTGGAGATTTTAGTTTAATAATAACAATGAATAAAGTTACCTTTA